CACTTGTACTATGTGCTCATAAGCACAGCTATACAACGTACTGCAATCTGACATAACACAAAGTTTTTAATGTTGTCAATACAATTTAATGTTCATTATTGAAGTTGTAGTCAAAGGTGGTGTTGTTGCCTGTTACTTTACATATATGAGGGAGACACAAACATTAGAAACACCTCACAATATAACACAGTCCACTACAACACCATCACTTCCTGTTATTCTCTTCATATCGTTTACTCTGTTGCTTCAACATTCCCGAGGTGGTCATTAAAGTTAAATTACTTTATCAAATCCCTCCTTCTTTTCAATAGTTTATTCTAACATTAGCTGGAGCTTTGAAAAAGAAGAAAACACGAGATGGCAAAGAAATAACATTTATTATCTGCTAAAAAACAGGAAGCATTCTTTTGAACAGTGGGCAGCTTGCCTTAATCTTTGTAGCGTGAGTGAAGAGTCCTGATTAGAGAACAGCTGGACTGGATAAGCACAGAACAGTCCAAACATGGGCCAGAAAGAGGAATATCTTTCTTTAAAGACTTTTTTTTTTTTCCATTTCCTCTATGCTGCAGTATAATGATAGTCACAGTTAGAACATTTAAGCACATCACTCCTTGGTTTAGAGGACGTTTCCCCCTGGGGATCAGAAAGCATCATTCCCTTGTTGCATAGCTTCTACCTTATCTCATCATGTTGCTCCTTCCATGTGATTTAGTGTTTACTATTTCGAATCATTTGTGAGTCATAATTCTAGGTGAAGTCTTCCACGCAGCCCCCATTAACTCCAAGCTGCTTCGAAAGTGCATGAATAATATCCTCAGGAGGCTCGGGCTTAATGTATGCACAACTATTCCACCTTCACAACCACTTGCTGCTGCCGTTAAGCAACTTTCACATCAAATTTGAAATTTAAACAGGAAAATGAGTTGCAAGGGAAGTCAAAGAGAAAAGGTTAGCTGTGGCAAAGATCAGCCTGCACAGATCATGCAAATGACAAAACTCCATTTCAAGCGCAAATATTGACACAAGGAGCCATTGTAAACCCACCTTCTGTGATCTCACCAGCACAACAAGCAGTTTACCAACACGCGCATCACAAACAAATCAGCAGCTCATTATGCAAAAAAACGGCGAGGAGCGATTGATTCCTGCCAGCTGAAACAGACACAGGTGTGTTTCGTACTGACTGTGACTTGATAGATGAGGAAGATCACATTTATTGAGATAAAACCTTTTTCCCAGAGATGCTATTTCAGGAAGAGGCAGCAGAGGGCGCACAACTAAAACCTTGAAAACGGCAGCACTTGTCTGCATGATGTGAGCACAAAGGGTGGAAACAAATGGGGGCTCTTAATAATTTGGTTTAACCAACTTGTTGTTTATTCTTTTTGTGTTTGACTAAATAATTGTCATGGACTTTTTCCTCAAAGCTAAATGACACAGGAGAGCTACGATGAAGATAAAGCAGAGACGCAAAGACAGTGTAAAAGCTACTATATAATTAATACTTCATATAAACATAGAATAAACTTAACACTGGCGCAGATCAGAGTCAGCGCACGTCTTTTTCTTACATGTAAATGAAACATAAAAATCTTCCGCAGAGCTTCATACATTCATACTTGTGAGTTATGAATAAAAAAAATAATATTAAACACACACTCTTGCCTTGTTATGCCAACAGAAGAGCAAAGAGAAGAATTTGCAATCGCAGCCAGAGAGATCATATTCCGCTCCTTCCAGACACAGACAGAGAGTTAAATGAGGCGTCTCATTAGGCTTTTTAAATGTGTTCCAAACATTACAAGGCAACAACCCTGGCAGCGCTTCAGCAGAACACAACGACAACCCTAAGTGAGAAAAATGAGCGGAGTGAAATGTTCCTTCTGTTAACAAAGAGGGCGCATCTTTTTTTCTGCTCAACGTATACGCTGTTTCATGAAAAGGGGGGTTCATCAATACAAGAACAAAACAAATGTAGGAAAACAGGAATCTCCAGTGAAGCGGGTGCAGACGTGATGCAGCCGCAGCAGCAGCCGTACCTCACACTGTGCAGCTTTTTGACACTTGCACGCTGCTATACACACAAAACAGTTAGAGAGGGGAAAGTGGCTGAAATGTATAACTCAAGGATGCCAATAATGAAAGACCTTCTGTAGCTTTGGGTTGATTTTTATTGCTCTTGGAGGCTCATGCATTTAGACATTATTTTATCTGGTTCATTCCTTTCATGTGGAGAACACTTTGGATTGTGAATTTGCAGTGAAGAGTTTTCAGTGACCTTTATGTTTCAGGACAGTGGGACAAAATGCGTACGAAGATCAGGCGCATTCAGACTCCACCGCAAGAGCGACTAAAGCTGGGGATCAAAATCCAGCATCTGTCACAGATGAAGCAGATCAGTTCCAAACTGTCTCACATAACTGTAAGCTCATGTTGATCATGGATGCCTCCTCCACTGTCTCTGCCACCTTGTACATCAGCGAGTGTACCACCTGCCAGCTGTCTGTCAAAATACAGGCTGTGGATAATAGCGCCCTGGAGGTCTCATTGCCAACAATGATAAGCCCACATAGAAGACAGACTGAAGCTGGAGATCGATTTATATCCAAACTCTGGTGTGTGGGACTGACTTCTGCACAAACTTGCTCGCTAATCCTTCCGTAGAGGTTAGATCTGATTTAAGGTAAGCATATTTTAAAGATGAATATAAAGTAGGGCCACAACAGCCATTCCAAGTCCCGAGTCTGCTAAACGAAACGACAGATTTGCCTTCTCTTACATTTTAGAGCTGACTGATGTTATCAATCCACAGGACACAACGAATGAAAATTTCAAGCAGCGAACACAACTCTGACATATCACATCATATCATCACCTGTTAGGTAATATGGACGAACCTGTCAGGAGGCAGTTTCAAGCACACTTCCTCATCCAGCTTTTGTGGAGCAGCAGCATTATTCACTTGAAGTTGTGTTTCTGTCTACCTGAGAAATGTAGATAAATGCAGATTCTGATGCATTTTTGGAGAATAATCACTCCCAGGTATCGTCAAACTATACCCATGTTGTCACTGGAAATGATCGTTCAGGACAACATGAGGAAGATTTTTTAGTTTTGAAGTGGAATGTAATTAATACCGATAAAATTGCTCACTTGTGACTCCAGCAGAGTCGTGCAGTTTTTAAGTGCCATCACCAACACCCTTAAATGACAACATCATCTGTTAAGTCAAGAAAGCCCAATAAAGGATTTCTTCCCGCAGCAGTTGAGCAAACTCAGTGATTCACAACTGATCCGTGCTCAATTCTGCCATTAACCGTCGCACAGCTTCCTTGCATCATCCATCTTTACGTCTAGTTCCTCTCCAGCTTGTCCCTCCCCGAGGCAGAACTCTCACTTATTTTCCACGCTGCTGAGTGGGTCACTGAAAGCTACATTTCACCGGGGAGCTGACGAAGAAAAGATGAATGTAGAAACATGATCTGTGAGTTGCAGGTTAGTCGTCATAGCTCATTCAAGGCTGAATAACCAGAAGTAAAGTTAAACATCGACACGCTTTCCCAAAAAAAAGCAGACAGTTGTTTTTGCTTCAGTATCGCAGATTAGCAAGAATAAAATGTTGGCAGTAACTTGTGTCCATAGCTTTATAGACCTCTGCAAACTGTTTTGAAAAACTTGAGATAATGGTTTCCTAAAAGATTCCTAAGAATGGAAATGGTTGAATCCATTTTGGGAATGATGGTAACACCAAAGCACCAAATAATGCATCATTGCCTGGTGACAGCTTCGTAAGTTCTCACAGAAAAACTCTACTGGACTATTTCTGCTTCCCTAAATATAAATGGGATTACATTTTTATTTTATTTCCCCTCTTTGTTTGTTTCTGGCAGTGTGGTTCCAGGGATGCTGGTAAGTGATTTTACCAGCCAGGTCCAAACAACTGCATGAAGAATCTATAGACTTTGGGGATCCCCTGATCTTTCGTAGCATCACCTGCAGTTAGAGATCTTACCACACTACTAAATTGGTAAACACAGGCCCTGGGACATTTGTCTGCTACTTGGATTATGTTCATTGCAGTTTTTTATATTTTTTAAGTGTGTTAAGTTCTGTGTTTCACTCACAAGGGCTGGTGGATGGTGGGTGTGTAAAGCACTGTAGCAGAGTTTGTAGTATAATAATAAATGAACAATAACACACAATAAAATATTAAATGAAATCCACAGTCAGCACCTCACTGGATCATCGTGTGCAGTAAAATAGTTCGGATGGCATCAGCTCTGAACACATTCTCAATTAGCAGCTTATAAACACAGGACTGCAACTGGACGTCCGTGGTGATTAGATCATGTATTATAATCATTCCGATGATTCGCTGACATTTCGCATAACAGCAACAGCAGGCTGACATTTTGCTCAGAGTGAGAAATCTGCAGCTATTGACTGGATTGCTATAAAACTTCATGTCCTCCCTCAGGATGAGCGATGAGAACTGAATTTGTCTATAGATCAGAAAACCTGCAAAACTTGTGTTTCCATCAGCTTCGTCTGCTCGTGCAAACACCTTAACATTGTCATTGTGAGTGAGTCAGCATACATTTTGCATCAAGTTTAATGTACCGCTGTATTGCCTCACAGCTGCTAGTACGGCTGCAGAGCTTTAGTCCTGAAAACAGCAAACTATAAGACCTCTTATGCGACTGGCTTATCAACCCTTGGTTTTATTTGTTGTGTTTTTAAGACAGTCATCGGCGTAGGTGCCACTGTGTGTAGTTTAAATTAAACTGTAACAGACAAACAGACACTCCTATCATTCTCTCTCTTTTCTCTCTGACCTATGGGCAGAGGTTCTAGTCCTTCCCTTCTAAATGGTAAATGGTGTGCACTTATATAGCGCTTTCACCCAAAGCGCTTTACAATGTGTTTCTCATTCACCCATTCACCCAATGGCGACAGAGCTGCCATGCAAGGTGCAGCCTGCCTGCCATTGGAAGCAACTTCAGGTTCAGTGTCTTGCCCAAGGACACTTCGACTGTGGAGAGGCGGGGGATTGAACCGCCAACCTTGCCACTGGAGGACAACCAGCTCTACCACCGGAGCCACAGCCGCCCGGTAGAAGCACCAAATACATCTCCTCAACAAGAATACCTGCCTGAAGGTCCCCATTCGCTAGGTATACACCGAGTTTAAACAAGTAGTTAGCCTCAGAAGCTACGACACAAAGTCTTCAAACTCGCTTCACAAACAGCAGAAACAAACAGCAACGACGGGGCCGAGCTGCCAAGGAGCACAAAGCAGTGACCCACTTCCTTCAGCATCAGAACACTAAACGGCAAAGACTACGTTCACCCTCAGAGCAACAAATCTGGCACCATTAATACAGACAGATGAAGCGTCTGATTCTGAAGAAGCACATAATACGGACTGTAACCGAAGAAGTGTGTCTTTCTTGGTTCCCTGAGTTAAATCCTACTTGACACTTTGGATCCTGAAATAAATAAACAGACCCCTTATCCAGTGCAGCGAGGCTCATCAGTAGTCAAATAAGGACAGATTATCACCGCAGGTCTTTCTCTAAAATTATTTCCACAAATGGCTTGGCACAGAAAACACATTGCTCTTACTGCAGCTTCTCTTTCAGGGGGATGGACGGGAAATTATCTCAGTCATACCGATGGTCAGGTCACCGGCGGTATACTAAGTACACTTGTGGCTTTGGGATTGCAAATTGTAAACCGAGTGTTATCGGAAGGGATAACAGGTAATATTTTTATATCCTTTTTGGTAAAAGGAGGAGTTCTGATATAATCGGTCCACTTTCCTGAGGAAGATGAGGAGGGGACACTTAGATGAGCTCAGATCCACAGACACACACCTATATAGATCCTTAAAAGGCAAATAAATTCAACCTGTCAGCTATTGCACGTGTTCATACACACAACAGAGTCCCATTTTGGAAACTGCATACAATGTTGTTATAGAAGATTTTTTTCTCTTAAAAACTATTTTGCTGGCAGAAGTTTCTGTTTACAGAGAAATGAGGCAATTCTAGTGAAACCGTTTTACTCTCTCAAAAATCCTCTCCAGGCAGTCTTTCAAAGAAACTTGAGAACTTTTAAAAAGCTTTTATTTAGAAGGCTTTAATATGGCCAACTAAATATTTTCTTATTTTGTCAAATAATTTCATTTTCTGTGTCAAAATGCTGATTCATTATTGCCTTTCAGAATGTTTCATACAAAGGATTTCTGATCATTTTGTCAGTGTCTTACAAAAATGGAGCTGTTTCCTGATCTGCCATCAACATGGACCAGGACTGGTGAGATGCAACGGCAGAAAACCCTCTCTACTTTTAGGATTAGACTTAAAACTTTCCTCTTTGATAAAGCTGATAGTAAGGGCTGCTCAGCATCACCCGAGCTGCCCCCTAGTTATGCTGCTATAGGTTTAGACTGCCAGAGGACTCACATGATGCACTGAGCTCCTCCTCTCTCTTCCATTACATGTTGTTAGCTTTGTGTTTTCTCTCTGTTGTCCGTGTTTGTTCTCTCTGCAGGTATCTCTGGATCTGGAACGTTTTCTTGTCCTTCCTGCTAAAGAGGAGGTTTTTTTGTTGCTTCCCATTGTGACCATGTTCTTGCTCAAAGGGAATCCAATGGAACCTTTGGATTTGTTGGGTTTCTCCATTCTAAATGTGTACGGTCTTCTCCTTACTGTGTTAAGTGCTATGAGATGGTATGTGTTGTAAATTGGCGTTATATAAATAAATATGATTTGAAAATTGAATTAAATGTGAGCACCTTGGTCAAGGTTTAAGGAAACACTTAAACATTATTTCCTTCTTGGCACCCACAGGACGAGACCTGGTGGCCAAATCTGCTCATGTCCAAGAACAAAGTTGTAAAAAAAAAGTTAAACATGTTATTTTTAAGGAGATGACGGTCTTGACATTGCTTGTAAATTGTGTGTCTTTATTGCAGGTGTCCATAGATGGTTAAATTTATAAAAGCATCTTTTTCCCTCGGTTTCAGTCCTCTGTCAAAACTGAAATAGCTTTTTTTTCTCAGCAAAGCGGAGCTTTTCCAAAACAGCCTCCAAGAGTGTGTAGTCCTGGACGCCAGCTTGGTGTTTCAGTATGTATGGAGTAAACTAAGCTATTTCAAAGCCTTGTCCAAAGCCAGCCCAGTTAGGAGAAATGCTGTGTAGCAGTAAAGGTTTTTCAAATAGCAATATATGTGAACCAATACACAACAGAGTTGTTCTTAATCTGGATTTATATCGATTTTGTCAGATGCCATTGTGAAGATAAAATGATTTTATCAACAGTATAGCAGCTGGTTAACGCATAGTGTTTAGAGGCCAGCGGTACTGTAAATCCATATTTCATACTTGTAGGGATGGGCACAAACATTCTGCGGGGCTGTTGCTCTCCTCCCTGTTTGTCTCCATGTCCTCTGTTGTTCTTTCTGTCTGTCCCAACTCATTTAGTCACCAAGTCTGCACTGTACACTATCTTTTGGGTTTGGTTCAGCATGAGTCAGAGGCGATCCTAGGCTCCGAGAGGCCCCAGGCAAAGAAATACATGGAGGCCTCCCATACCCCAAAAGTGACTTATGCTACTGTGAGCTCATCTGCAATTAACAGAAGATGAGAATGACATGCTAATGTGCTCGACACCTGTAAGTTACTTATGAACTGAAATTAACCTTCTTGTGCATTTATCAGTAACATATCCACCTACGGGGGTCAGTGGTCAGCACTGTTGCCTCACAGCTAGGAGGTCGCCAGTTCGCATCCCGATGAGGACACCCGGGATCTTCCTCCCACGGGGTCCAAAACCATGCTGAGGTTAATTGGTGATGCTAAATTGTCTGTAGGTGTGAATGTGAGTGTGCTTGGTTGTCTGTCTCTAAGTGTAGCCCTGTGATAGACTGGTGACCTGTCCAGGGTGTCTCCTGCCTTTGCCTTAAGTCTGCTGGGACAGACTCCAGCCCTCCACAACCCTAGTGAGGTTTAAGCGGTGTATAGATAATGGATGGATGGATGGATACCCACCTACCACTTTCTTGTTGACGTTTTTCCTCCTCTTCCTGTCTCTTCTTCCTTTTCTGGAAACCTGACAAGTGTTGCTTCATTGTGCTGAATGTTCACTTTGTTTATCAGGCAACCAGACAGGACGGTAAGCAGTAGCTGGAGGGGAGCCCCACTAGGTGGGGTTGTGGGGCACCACTTTCAATACACTGTATAGGGGCCTGCATAGGTTTAAGGGGGGTCATGGTTGTCACTGCAAAATGAATCAAAGTATAGCCATTTGGGGGGGCCCTTTTCTGACGGGGCCCCAGGCAATTGTGTTTTAAAGAATGTTTTAAAGATACTTTTTAGACTTTGATTTTGCATGAGTTCCATAATGTACCCTTAAGAACGCCATTGTCCACAGCATCTACCGTTCTCTTTATCCCTTTGTTCCTGGCATGGTCATTTAATAGTAGCTCTCTTACACATGGTCATTACCACCCTCAGCTGTCTGATGTGTCTCCTGATGCTCAGCATGCTCTCCCTCACACTCTGGTCTGGAACCTTGTGGTTATGTTTCATCTTAAATTGAATTTTAAGGGTCAAATTGAGAATACTTTTGTCCACAGCATTTTAAATTCAAAATACCATGTGCAGGCCAGCACGGTGGGGTAGTGGTTAGCACTGCAAGAGGGTTCTACTTTTGAATTTTCTTGTCACCTGGGGCTTGCTCTGGCTTCACCAGTGACATGCACGGTGGTCACAGGTATGAGCATGAGTGTATACTTGTCTGTCTGTCTGTCTGTCTGTCTGTCTGTCTGTCTGTCTGTCTGTCTGTCTGTCTGTCTGTCTGTCTGTCTGTCTGTCTGTCTGTCTGTGCTATAGCCCTGTGATGAAACAGCAGTCTGTCCTGGAAGTATCCCTCCTCCCTGCCATCAGCTGAGATGGACTGCGACCCCCTACAGGACTAGGTATAGTGGGTATAGCTGATAGATGGATAACTGGACACTGTAGAAGCAATATTTAAAATAGCAAGTTTATTATATTAACTTTACCAGGTCAATGAATTTAATCATTTAAATTTTGAACGTCTGACTGAATCATCCACAATCATTTCTTACTGAAGCAACTGAACACTTTAATGTCGCCAGCTGAATTAGACTGAAGCAACAACAACATGTCATACAGTGTTTTATGAATATATTTTCTGACCTATTAGCCCATATTTTACAACAGCTATTTTATTTGATCCCTGAGCTCTCCAATTGTTAAAACCTTACACGATGATTGAAATGATTTTCTTAGTTATTAGCCCATTTCCAACTAAGAATGAAGCTTCCTAAGAAACATAAACTGACTCCACAATTCTGGCGTGTCCTTGGGCAAGACACTGAACCCCAAGTTGCTCCTGATGGTCGGCAGGCACCTCTGCCACTGTGTAAATGTGTGTGAATGTGTGAATGTGAAACATATTGGTACATGTTTTGTTGAACCAAGCTCAGGTTAAAATGGCCAAAATAGCTGCAGACCATTTATAACAAAGTCTGCTTCTATCAGCTACATGAGTTTGTCAGTTGAAATTCTTTAGTTTGTTCACAAGCATAGGTTGACGCTAACGTCACAAGCTAGAAGAAGATTTCCATGGTTATCCCATTTTTCACTGCTCATTCCCACAACCTCAAAAGACTCAACAACAACCGCTGTGTCCTATGGAGGCAAGCCTGGTTTGGTTGATATGTAGATGTCATTTTGTGATCATTAACAGTTTTGAGCTACTTGTATGTATGCAGCCTCAAAGGAAAAAAAAAACATAAAACCATTCCTCCCTTTTTTATCTCCATATGGGCGACTCAGCCAAAGATGGCTAATTTGGTGCTCGTGTAACTTTATCCTGGGCTTTAAGTGAGAGCAACCCACATTTCACTGCATTAAAATACAGCTGAATTCACAAGATAGTTGCTTTAGCTGATCACACAACACAGCTGGTCTTGTCAGACCATGTCTTACCTATAAAACAATGATTGGTTGGCTTATCTGTCTGTCTCACACCGTACCAGCTGTTTGACTGGGATGTGATTTTGTTGTTTTTGGAGCAGAATTGGAACTTTTGCCTTTTTTTACAATAACAATTACTGAGAGAAATTATTTTGAGAACTAAGTTTTTTTTTACCATCTTTGCCAAAAAAATATTCACATTCTTGAACTGAAAACAGCTTACAGTCTTCTCTGGTGTATTGGGAGAGAAGACTAACTCAGACCATCTTATCGTTGCAATTGATTGAGTTTGTTTATGAAGTTAAGTGGATTCGTCTGCAGGCTCTATCCACATTATGGAGGTCTAGAGGCTCATCCTTCACCCTCATCAGACAGTTTTCTAATCAGCTCCATCGACTGCTCCTCTGGGTGTGTGGCAGGGAAAAAAAACCT